TACCACCACTGACTGCTCTGACAGGGATCACAACAGAGGGTCCCAGACAGAGCTGGAGAAAAATGTAGAACAAAATTCTAACTCAAAAAAAGATCAGGCTTACTCGCCTGACAGAGACTAGAGAAACCCGGAGAGTATGGCTCCCCGACACCCTTTTAACTCAGTAATGAAGTCACTCCCGAGGTTCTCCGTTCAGCCAAAGATTAAGACAGCCCTGTAAAACAAAACGAGACTAAAGGGGCACAACAGTCCAGGGACAAGGACTAGAAGGCAGAAAGGGACAGGAAAGCTGGTAATAGGGAAGTTGAGAAGGGGCAGTGTTGACATGTCGTGGGGTTGTTAACCATTGTCATAAAACAATATATGTACTAACTGTTTAATGAGAAACTACTTGTTCTGTAAACCTTCATCTAAAGTACAAAAAAAAAAAAATGTTTTCAGGCTTTTATTCTTCTTTCATTGGTTTAATGTACATTAGAAACAAATAATTCTATAGCTCATTTCAAAAAGATACTTACTGCCTGGAAGCAAATTGCTGTAGAGATGGAATAGATGATAGTATCTGCATGGGGAAAATAGGGAACCTTCCCTGCTTCAATGCCTTTGAAATACATTGTCTACAAAACAAGCATAATGCAAAGTTTATAAAGAAAACAACTTTAAGTAGCATTAACAATATAGTTGAGCAATATGCTGCCTACCTACAACTGTTTTTTCTACCTTTCCAAATCCTAACAATCCTTGAAAGCTCAAAAATCATACCTCACATCTACCATGACAGCATTAAATGTCAACCCTTCCCCTTCCCTCATTGCCTTGCTTCTAACCCCAGCTGAAAGTGATACTACTATTCTGTGAAATTCAATAGCACTTTATTTCTACCTCTTTTATGTCATTTATTTCCCAATGCCCTTTTGTACAGTGTTCAAGGTCCTCCCTTCCCTATCAGGTCTATTCATTCATTCATTCAGTAAACATTTAATAATGCCAACTACATGCTGGGCACTGTGCTTGGAGCTAGGGATTAAAAAATGAATAAAACACAGTTAACACATAACAGAAATCACCAACGCACTCTGATGAGGGCTATAACAGTGGTATGTGTCTGTATAAATATCTATTAACACTTTGGCTTCCCAGAAGAGGGAGCAATTACTCATCTAGGACAGATGACCAAGGAGAATTCCAGAAAAGACTGCATTTTACTGAGCAGTGCTGCTCAAACCGTCTCTGGTGAAAGAGCACATTTTTCTTTTTTTAAATTTCCAATCTGTGACAGATTCATACTTTTATGAAATACAACAAGAATAAATTACTAAAAAAAAAGACTTAAAAAAATACACACAAAATCCAAGCCCAAATTTTTAATATTAGATTCAAAGGGCAAAATATTATTCTGTCCAATTGTTATAAAAGCTTCCAAATACTTTCGATTTCTATACTTATTTTGTCGTGGACTGGTAACAAATAATTCACAGACTAGCACTGGCCTACTGACCACACTTTTAATAGTACTATCTTATAAGATGCCTAAGATCAACAACTAGATAAAAGAGAAGCAGGGGTAACAGGCAGGCATGAAAATACACTGTATGTCTGGGGAACTGCCAGCAATTCCTTATGGCTACAACAAGGGATAACTCATAGAAATGTGTTCTCTAAAACATGGGAAAGCTAAAGTAAGACTAGTAAGAAAAGTCAAAGAGGATTAAGAGAGAGTGGTGTTACAACAGGGTGGAAGGAGGTTCAAGAAGAAATAACATAAAAAGGGTGACAACTGAAAAAATATCATTGACAGGTGGCAACACCTTCTCTTTTTCATCTTTGTATTATCTTTAACACCTACCCCAGTCCAGAGTACTAAAATATTTGCTAAATGAATATGATGTTTATTAGTAATATCCCATCTGATTTGCCATAAAAAATCCTCAGTGATCCATACAGGCTACTGTCATGGTTTGAAAAAATGTGTGTATCAATTTGGCTGGGCCATGATTCCCAGAATTGTGTGGTTGACCTCCATTTTGTGATTGTAATTTTATGTTAAAGAGGATTAGGGTGGGATTGTAACACCACCTTTACCCAGGTCACATCCCTGATCCAATGTAAAGGGAGTTTCCCTGGGGTGTGGCCTGCACCACCTTTTATCTCTCAAGAGATAAAAGGAAAGGGAAGCAAGCAGAGAGTTGGGGACCTCATACCATCAAGAAAGCAGTGCTGGGAGCAGAGAGCATCCTTTGGCTGGGGTCCCTGAGCCGAGAAGCTCCTAGTCCGGGGGAACACTGCTGAGAAGGCCAGGAGAGAGAGAAAGCCTTCCCCTGGAGCTGACACCCTGAATTTGGACTTTTAGCCTACTTTAACTGTGAGGAAATAAACTTCTCTTCGTTAAAACCATCCACTTGTGGTATTTCTGTTATAGCAGTACTAGATAACTAAGACAGCTACCGTAATCAAAGAGAAAAGCAACAACGGATACGATGAGGAGAATCTAGTACATATGAATCACTCAAAAAATGTATAATGAGAAGTAAATATATTCGAACTAGCATGCTAAGGATTGGGATATATAAGAACTGTAAGATATATACAAAGAGTTACAGTCTACTTAGGAAACAAGATAAACAATCATACATGGGACATTATTTTGAAAATAATATAACAGCATACTGTGAGGTACAGATATATTCTAGCAGATTCCCACTGAAGAAAATGTAATTCAGTGTGGTAGAATGGCACCATAGAAATGCTATGTGAGAAAAGTTCTCTCTTAATATATGTAATAATTGTGTTCCTAATTAATTCTTATAATAAAACTTATCTACTGAATCAGAGTCTAAGTTAATGAAGGGCAGCAATCATATCCTATACTTATTCTATATGTTTATCAGCACCTAGCACAGTAATGGGAATATAATAGTTACTCAATAAATATATGCATTTGACTCATAAGTGCCTAGAAAAAATTGTCTATATAGCTGATTTTTATATAATATTCATTATATATTAATATAGCATTTTAATATAAAATTAACTTCAATCATAGAAAAACGACTGTCTATTGCACCACAGTCATTAAATCCACAGAAGGACATGGTAAGCTTAAATTTCTATCCTGATCCAAGCCACCAACTCCTGCCTGTGATTGCCTGTTCTCCCTAGCTTCCAGTCTTGCCTCCTTCTAATCAATTCTCCGTATAATAGCTGGAATGTTCTTCTTAAAATATGAATTAAAACAGTTCATTTCCATGCCTGAAACTCTCCAATGGCTTCCAAACGCACTGAGAACAAAATCAAACTCTAACCCCCAGGTTTTAAAATCTTGTATGACCTAGCTCCTGCCTGTCTTTCAATCCTCTTTCTTTCTCTCTCTCACATACACACACATACCCATACACTTACTTGGATACAGTCTGGGAGCAAAAAACCTCTAGCATCCAGACTGAAATCTCTAAATATCATTTCCTACTAAAAGAAACTAGGGCAACTTAAAGAAAAGGCTAATTCCATGTCTGGGGCAGGAAATGCCCCTGATGATCCTCGAATATCTTGTCTTATCAGAAAGTAAGAACGCTATCTAAGATTACTAGGATTATACCAAAAAGAACCAAAAAAAAGAAAAACAACCCGTTGCTGTTGAGTCAGTTCTGACTCATAGCAACCCTACAGGACAGAGGAGAACTGCCCCATAGGGTTTCCAAGGAGCGGCTGGTGGACTCAAACTGCCAACCTTCTGGTTAGCAGCCAAGCTCTTAGCCACTGAGCCACCAGAGCTCCAAAAAGAAGCAGGAGTCAATTTAAAGAGACTCTCATGGCCAAAAGTGAGGCAATTTGAGCATAACGACTGCAATAGGTTGAAGTAAATCAAATATGTTAAAATCCAAGTCTTCAGAATGATATCTGAAAATAAAGACTCATGAGTCAACTTTGCAGGATGCTAGGGAATGAACTCATTCTGAACACTGGTAAATAAAGGAAATTTATTTTGTCTTTTCTGAAAAAATATATTTCAGAGTAACAAAACAGTTGATAAGGAAAAGTGCTTATTTTTAGAAGAACTGCAGCTAATGAATGCAGAAGAAACAACACTATTAGATTATTACCATTTTGCAACCCCCAACGAGATGACAAGTAGCAACAATGATCATTAATGGCTGCTAAAAAGTTTAGGTGAAAGGCCAATGGGGAATCTCACGTTGGCTCTTCCAACACCTGAGTCTACTGAGCAATCTTAACATCACAAAAAGAGAGACAAAGAGATATTTTTATGCCTCCTAATGTGATGCAACAGAAAGTTCACCCACACAGTAACTGTGAAGTATTTCTGCCACCCCACCAAAAAAAAAAAAAAACAACCCTGAACCTGAATTTGCTTAAGCCACTTGATCTACTTAACAGTTTGCAAGAAGTACATGGGTTAAAGAAACATGTTAAAATCCAGAACCTGGTAAATTCCATGTAACTAATGACCTGGTTCTTCAACAAATAAAAAGGCAAGGAAGAAAAAGAGAGGGGGAGAGAGAGGTTATCAGCTGCTATAAATTAAAAGAGACTTTTGTTTGGATACTGATTCAAACAGATTGCAAAAAAATATTTATGTGAAAATCTACGTTGTAATTGGATATATGATCATGTTACGGAATTACTATTTCTTTAAATGTATGATAATGGTATTGTAGTTATATTTTGGAGGTATTGTTGATTTGTTGTTTTAAGGAGTCTTTATCCTTTAGCCTTAAGCCTTTAAGGAGTCTTTGTCCTGAGTTGTTTACAAATGATATGATGTGATGTCTAGGATTTGCTTTAAAATAATTCAGTACTAGAGGGTATAGAAGAAACAACATAGGCCAAATGCTGATAATCACTGAAGCTGGACGATGTGTGAATGAGGATTAATTACACTATACTTTCTACACTTGTATATGTTTAAAAATATACACACACACAGAATACAGGAACTGATTTTTAAAATACTTTCATAGTATTAGAATTTGCTTCTGAAGTTAGGATATAGATTTGCTGCTAAATCAGTTAGCAGCTAAAAAAGCTCTATATCTTTTGGAACGACCCATGCTTAAAAATTTTCGCTTACCTCCACCAATTTAGAAGCTAAGTACATGGAAATTGTTGTGCTCTTATAAAACATCATTGATATACCCGCCAAAAATCCTGAAACAATAAATAAGGCAAAAACTGATCAGATCTCAAAGTATTTCTTTGTCATTAAATCATCTGGAAATGTTAATCACTTCACTTAAATCGAAGGGGATCATTTTGTAGCACTGTCTCTTGTAAAATATATTTAAGCATAGTAATATAACTGATGATGTTAAAATGGGGAGAGTTCATATTATCACATATTTTGATATTTTAAATTGACCTTCAGAGTTAGTAACCAACATTCCTGATACACATACTACAAGAAACTTTATAAGTTAAACTAAAAAAACAGCAGTGGCTTTATCAAATATAATGACTTTTAAAAATAATTTTTAAAGGCTATTGGTATCATCTCTGAATTGAAATGCAAATTTCATTTACTCATCTATTCTTCTAACAGCTCAAATTATTTTTAGTGGTATGATCACATTTCTCTCTATAGCCCTACCTTCCTTCTGTAAATGGAGATCAAAGAAGGTGGAGGCAAGAATATTAACATATAAAAAACATATACTATTAAAATACATGCCTCTGTTGCCGGTGGTAAAAATGGAATTTCTAAAGAAATCTAATTAAACTTCTGTTAATCATTTATGTAATATTTTAAGTTTTTATGTTCTTTTGAGACATATTCCCTGAGATTTCTGGCCTGTAGCAGGTCAGACAGCCAACCAATTGTACTGCCAATTCAAAACATCAGACAGCAAGAGTAACCTGACAAGTTAAATTCTGCAAACACAAAATGTTTGGACTAGTGTCTAAATAAGGATTTTATTACCAAGAAAGGAAGATATACAGATATTGGGTGAATTTGGAAGATATTTCCTATTCATTCCTACTACCCACCCATTGATACAATAATAATTATTCATTTTTTTTTATCATTGCTTTACCAGCTATAATAGCATGCAGTTCATCATCCAGGTTTCTGACCCAGCGCAGGAAGCAACTAGTACCCTGTATTAAAGAGAAAATACAATGACTTGAGCTGTTTCATACCTAGAAAATAATTCATGAAGACAAAAACATCTGTAATGTTCTCATTACAGTGCTCCACTAGCTAACCTTGGAGGCAAATTGGTGATCTTATCTAAATCAAACTGAATTCATAATTGGGAAAATTATGAACAATAATCTGTTATAAAGTTATTCCTCTGGATAGACTCTATTAAGAAATTATCCATAATATTTTATTGTAATATTTTTCAAAAGGAATCCAAAAATTCCACTTTTGCCTAGATACAGAATGCTAAAAAGAGTGTCACTCCCACTCTCACAAGGAGAAAAAGCTGGATAAACCACAAAACTGTCAAGCCAGAATTCTATACCCAGAGAAAATATATTTCAATACTGAAGGTGAAATAAAGACTTTTTTCAGACAAATAAAAGCTAAGGAAATTCACCACCTACAAAAAATATTAAAGGAAGTTCTTTAGGCAGAAGGAACATAACGCCAGACAAAAATTTAGATCTGTAAAAAGAAATGAAGAGCTCTGGAAATGGTAAAAATGAAGCTAAAGTTAAAAGACCTTTTTTTTTTTTTTTTTTTTTATAGGGTCGCTATGAGTCAGAATTGACTCAATGGCAACAGGTTTTTTTTTTTTTTTTTTAACCTTTCATTGCTCTAAAAGGAAATCAACTGTTGAAGGCAGGGATCAGCAACCTATGGCCCACTGGCCAAATCTGGCCCACCACCTGTTTCTGATGGCTCAAGAACTAAGAATGGTTTTTACATTTTAAATGGATGAAAAATAAATCAAAAGACATACTTTGTGACATGTGAAAATTATATGAAGATCTAATTTCAGTGTGATAAAGTTTTATTGGAACACAGCCATGCTCATTTATTTATATATTATCCATAGCTGTTTTCATGCTACAACGGCAGAGTTGAGTAGCTGTAACAGAGACCATATCGTCCACAAGGCCTAAAATATTATCTGCCCCTCTATAGAAAAAGTAGGCTGACCCTTGGTTTAAAGGAAAATAGTAACAATGTATTGTGGGGCTTATAACATATGTAATGTAAATATATGATACCAATAGTACAAAGAATACAAAGGAAAAATTAGAAATATAGTGTTGTATGGTTCTTACACTATACCTGAAGTGGTATAATATTATTTGAAGATAGAATGTGATAAATTAAAAATATTTATTATAAATCTAAGGCAACCACTGAATTTTTTAAAAAGAGGTATAAGTAACAAGACAATTTAAAAAAAAAAAAAGCAAACCCATTGCCATCAAGTCAATTCCGACTCACAGCCACCCTATAGGGCAGAGTAGAACTGTCCCATAGGGTTTCCAAGCAGCAGCTAGTGGATTCGAACTGCCAGCTGTTTGGTTAGCAGCTGTAGCTCTTAACCACTGAACATCAGGGCTCCAATACGCCAATACCAAAAAAAAAACAAACCCAATGCTGTCAAGTTGATTCTGACTCATAGTGACCCTATAGGGCAGAGCAGAACTGCCCCATAGGGTTTCCAAGGAGCGGCTGGTGGATTTGAACTGCTGACCTTTTGGTTAGCAGCCATAGCTCGCTGTAGCTCTTAACCACTGCGCCACCAGGGCTCCAATAAGTCAACAGTAGAGGTAAAATGGAGTCAAAGAAAAATACTCAATCCAGAGGAAAGCAGAAAAAGAAAAACATGGAACAAAAAGAAAATAATTAGCAGAAGCATAGATTTAAACCCCACCATGTCACTAAGTGGAAATCCTGGCGATGTAGTGGTTAAGAGCTATGGCTGCTAACCAAAAGACTGGCAGTTTGAATCCACCAGGTGCTCCCTGGAAACCTACGGAGCAGCTCTACTCTGTCCTATAGGTTCGCTATGAGTTGGAAACGACATGACCGCAACGAGTTTGGTTTTGGTTTTTTTATATCACCAAGTACATTAAATGAAAATAGTCTAAACATGCCAATTAAAAGGCAGAAGTTATCAAATTGGATAAAAAAGGACCAACTATACTGTACGTGGTCTACAATAAACCAACTTTTAAAATCAAGAAATGTTAAAAGGAAAAGCATGAAAACAATATACCATCAAATACTAATCAAAAGAAAACTAGAATAGCTATATTACTATCAGACATAACAGAAAATATTACCAGGGATAGAGAGGTACATCACAAAATGAAAAAAGGGTCAGTTCACCATGAAGGCACACAAGAACTGAGGTTAATTTGCTGGCCCCACTCTTAATTACACTCTTACTAAGATGATAATGGCATGGATAAGCTCCCTAGCTGATGCAAACAGTTTGCATTCAACCGCTAACCTAAAAGTTTGAGCAGCAATGGTAGAGAAGTATACCATGGTACCGAGAAAGAAAAGGCCTGGCGATCTGCTTCCATTAAGATTAAAGCCAAGAAAATCCTATGGAACAGTTCTGCTCTATAACACACATGGGGTTGCCATGAGTTGGAATTGACTCGACTAGGCAACCAATAACAATGGCATGGATCATTTTTTATTTTTAGATTACATACGGGTGGCTTTGGAATACACTGCATATTTTCTATAAGAGATTTTCTGACCCAGTTGTGTTTTCCTTAGTTCAATACCATCAGTTTGTATTACCTAAGCAAATAAACAGTAATTGAAATGGAAAAAACCATGCTCTGGTATGTGCTGCATGGTGGAGAATAACCAACCTGAGACTAAAATGCTGGAAATAATCCGTATGCAAACATTTAAGAGTTTATGTTAAGAATAAACACAAACACTATGACATGAAAAATGAAAAAGAATGTGAACATAAACATATAATTACCAATAATCGGTACTATTAATTCTTATATATTCAAAAATATTAGTAATTCTTCCCACTCAAGCCATACTGAAAATGTTTTTAATATTAGTAGTATTTCATAACAAATGATTAGTTATCTATAGTTTATCACTCCGCTTCTCCTTTCCATTTCAAAATACTTTCTCCATACCTGCCTTTTATAAGAAAACTTTTACATAAAATGACACAGGACCATTTTACCCAGAATAATTCCAGAATTCAATTTACTCAGGATTCATTTTATTTTTAGTCTAACCAGAAAACAAACAAAAAACCATGCAGGTCAACCTTAGTTAACACACTTAACCATTCAGAATTTATATTTTAGATTTTTAATAAAATATGTCAGTAATATGATTTTCATATTAGTGATTTTGTGATTTCCACTAAACTAAAGGTTGTTACTTAAAGTTACAGAATATTGTGTAGAGAATAATCCCTATATATGTTTTTAGACGTGTGCTTATATACGTGTGGGCACATTTATAGGAACATGGAGAAAGGGGTGCAATGATGTTAACTCTGGGTATTTGAGAGAGTGTTGGGGAACAGTGAGTGAGTGGACAAGGGAAAATAAGTCATTGCTTATATAAGAAAATTCTTATATAACCAGAAACTTCTTACTGGTTCTATCAAGTGTTACTATCAGCTAGAAGGGTCAGGAATATTTTAAAATGAATAACCAGGCAGTAAATGTGATTAAGAAAAAGAGAGAGACTAGGCATATTAATATCACTTTTGATGTTACAAGTATCAGAAAATTCATACTGAGTTCCATGTATTAAAAAAAAGCATCTTTAAGAATCTTTAGTATTATTTATATAAATGCAAATATGTCTACACATTCAAGGTTATCAAGTAACATTTTAAGAGAAGAAATTTCTCCAACCTCAATTCCCAATATATTGTATATATTTGGCGATGGTCAAGGTATTTATGAATACTACAAGAAGAAGCACTAAAAGAAAAAATTAATAGATGAGTTAAGGCAGTATCTTATTTTAACAATAGCCCATTTTTCTTTCCTCTTCTGAAAAAACTTACCTTGTATATACTAACAAAAGAACCAAGAAAAGCTCCGAGCTGGAAGTTTTCCTTATTATAGAAGAGAGAAAATAGCCGGGATGGCTGTGTAAACAGATGTCTGAATGCAGAGGGGATTCGGAGGCAGCACTGGATCAAGTACCCCACGCTAAACATTCTGATGAAACCCTAAAGAAAAGTGGGAGGAAAATCTGATTTACAACCAAATTTTGAAGTATGAATCTTATCATCTCAAAATCAAGACTCAAAAAAAATTAATACAAGTTTATATCACAGGCATTTTCAAAATTAAGTTTTAAAACCTCAAGCAATAATTTTGAAACAATTACCTTAAAAATAAGGGTAAAATCTTGGAGTGAGTATACTTTCCTTGATTTACAAAGACTTAAAAATTCTCACAAGCACTGGCCAAGCTTGCCTATGCACCAAAATTCCATTTCTTGACATTTTGTTGAAAATAATCAGGATTTTTAATTCCAAAACCACAAATGAGTTTTAGAAAACAAAAGTGTTGAAATTCCAAAAAAAAAGCAGTTAACAAAACCAAATGCTTTTGGAAATTTTGACAGAAAACTGCTCTTAATCATAAGGATGAGTAGGGATGTTGTTGATAGAAAAATAATTTTATTATTTTAGACCTTTGGTACAAACTTTGTAAAATGATAAGGTTAAAAGAGCTTCCCAGAAAAAGAAATAATTATATCTGGTTTTCATTTCTGTGCTCAATCGGGTCAGGCTAAAAAAAAAAAAAAAAATCACAAGGGAATGGCAGATTTAAGGTAAACTAACAAAACATGAGAAAGCAAATCCATTACAAATCCTTATTTGCTGCCAACAAATCCGAGGTTTCCCAAAACTGTTCATAGTGCAAAAGGGAACTATCTGGGGAGGATAACTAATGTTGGCCAATTTCATTTCAATATTTATGAAAATGAAATTTGGATGTCACTTAATACCTGGAGACTGAAAATGCCAATTAGCACAAAACAAAACATTAACAGAAAGAGCAATATTTTATATATGATTCAACCAATATACTGTAATAACATGTTTCCCAACCTCCTCCTCCTCTCTCACCCCCACTGGAATGGGAAAATGTGTATACTCTTAGCAGTGCTTGCCTGCTAAGTTCTAAAGGTCAGGTTTTTATTTACAGATGGCAGTTGCCTTTAAAAAAAAAACAAACAAACTGAATTATTAGGAAGTACCATTCATTAATTTACCTGAAACTATCTAATAACTGGTTAAAACATGGAAATTAAATTGTCCAATCAATTATTGTGAATTACCATATTGGCTTAACTGAAACTATCTAGTATTTCTTTAAAACAGCAAATGTTCACACTTTTATCTTGCTTTTGATAATCTTAAAATGCTAGTCCAAGGATTGAAGGATTAAATATTTTATAATTTTTTCATGCTATTTTCCATTCATCCCTCCATCCATCCACCTTTCATGTATTCAGGAAATATTTGCTGGCTGTCTATTATGTGCCAGGCTTTACACTAGATGCTAGGTATACAACGAGGAAGAGGGCACAAAGTTCTTGTTTTCATTCTTGTTGAGGGAATAGGAAATAAATAAGTAAAGAAATAAACAGATATAATAATTACAGATTATATTAAGTGTTATGAAGGAAACAACCAGGGCGCTAGGATAGAAATTAACAGGGCAACCTAGGCTACACTGAGTGGTAAGGGAAGGCCACTGAGAATGTGACATTCAAACAGACCCAATAAGAGGAGAAGGAGCTAGCATGAGAAAAGGATTTCCGACAGCTTAGACAGAAAGCACAAAGCAAAAACAAAAACCAGGTTGGCAGATACTAGGAACCAACAAAAAGTTAGTGTGAATGGAGTATAGTGAGTTGAGTGGAATGTAATTAATATGGATATTTACTCAGGGTTATGATTTAATATGTGGTGTAACGGAGTCCATGGAATAATGAGGTGCATTGTCAGAAATTTTTACTAAATTTATGATGTAAATTCCTCACCTGTAGGCCTCCAAATATTATCCAAATATTATCATGGAGGTAATATTCCAATTTTTACATAAATTACTTATTTTAGTCCTAGTACACGTTTGAAAACATAGATTTTTCATTGCTCAGTAATCCTAACTTTCTCCTGTAATTTTTTTTAATATCACCTGTCCAAAAGAAAAATTTCTCAAATAATTCTTATTTAATCAGACTACTTTTAGTTGCTCTCTTGAAGTGAATCATGTCCAACTGGAGGGAATAATCACTCTCCAGGCGCTAGCAGACTCTGAAGCTACCAACAATGTTGCTTTTTTCCCACCATTTTAAATGTGGGGGAGGAAATCAGATTTGGAAGGAGTGTATCAGAAACCACTGCACAACTGAAAAAATACTGCTTTTACCCCTGGTCATATCTTTGGGGATTCTGAGGGTGTGTGTTATGTTAGGTGAATGCCACCATCAACACTTGGCCACAGGCATTCACATTCATAAGCACTAATGTGGGAGAGTCCCTCCCTTCTAGAGTTAATTAATGGAGAACCCCCTTTATGTCCTTTTTCCCCACTGAGGCAACCCATAACTGTCTCCTGGGGTGCTGAACAACTCTGCTCTTTTCATCATCAACTGAGTAGAGATCAGACTTTGCAAGAAAGAACATAAACTTTCAAAAGTACCAGAATTGTCTGTCAGAGCACCATCCACAATTAAGGAACTTGCAGCAGGTAGTGGCCCTGTGCCAGAACAACTGCAGTAAAAATAGCCTCCCTCCCAAGTGGTAGCAATGTGTGTACGTGTGGTAGGGAGAGACGAACTAGTAAGCCAGTATATTAGGGAGTGGGGCATTACTAACTTTCTCAGCATACAGCAACTGTGGACAAGCTCCAGCTACCTCGATGCCTTAAAAAATGTAACAGTTTTACAAATCCCAAACCAAACGCCACTTTACCATATTGTGTGCAATGTAAGTGTACTACTACGATCCAGCACATTCCAGGGGCCTGGTTCTAGAATGACGTTCTACTGAGAATACATCACAAAGGACACATTTTAATGACTATTTTTCTGAACTTTGTGTGTGCGTGTATACCCATCTTCTATCCTACCTCAAAGTTTTCACTAATTTTTAAATAAGTTAATTTTAAAATTATTTCACTAAGGATCTGGTAACTGAATATTAAAAGCTAAATTGTTACTACCTAGTTCTCACAAATTTCTTATTCTTCAAGTCAAATACAAAGAATGAAAGCGACTGTTAATGTCAACTTTTCCATTTACTTTGAAATTATTTTTTAATAAATAAGTTATTTCTCTACATACTCCCCATTGTTTAGAAAGTGGATACTTTCATACACTTACTTTAATGCAATAAGAGATGCAATTATCTTCATAGTGTTTGCAACATCTATGCCTTGGTCCATGCTTGCATCTGAAATTAAACCGAAAAAAACAAAACAAAACAAAACAACCTAATTATAATTAAAACGTGTGTGTGTGTATATCTGTAGATCTGTTTAAAACTCTCTCACCAAAAAAAGGAGAAAATGACACCCTCTCATTTCTAAATGTGTGCATATTTTGGTCTCTTCAGACATACAGAGGCAAGGACGACAGAGATATTTTTGTGTTTCTTTGTTGCTCATTGTTTAACACACTGTATAAAACATTTGAATGCAGTCAAAATACTTGAATGTGGAATAGAAAAATCATATTCATAAGTTTGTGACTAACTATTAAAAACATGTATATATTACCTATATACTCTGCCAAATTTTTTGGAAGCTTTAAATTCCTTGTTATAGCGCGTAACAGTCATAAATCATCTATGAAGTCAGTACTTGAGCAAAAATCATAATGAGAATGTTCTCAGGTTACAGGAATTTATACTTGATTATATTTGAGAGAAAACATAAGGAAAAGAAACACAATATAGAATTAGAGTTAAAAGTTCACTTTTTAAAAATAAATACAGAAGTAGACCATTTGAGAATTCAAAAGTGGATTGTGATTTGAATGTAAACCACTTAACCTTCTAGTGTTTAATAAACATTTCTGCTGGAAGGACTACCGTTCAAGACAAAACTTATTTTAATTATTTGGTAGGATGACTCCAGGACTATTTATTCACCCTATGTGTAAAAAAAGTTAAGCAGGAGAATCTAACATGAGTTTAGTTCTCCCACTTTCTCTCTGAAGAGTTCATGTTCCAAAATAAGCAGTCTTTATAACATCTTTTCAGGCTGTAATTAATTTTTTTCATAGTTGGAACACATGAACTGTTTCCTGTTTATAACAATAACTTGTGGAGCAATGTTCTAGCTCTGCATTTTCTCCAATCCCATCTGCAAACTGATTAGCAAGACCTTTTCCCAAATCCAATTCTTCACTGCTGAAGTATACAGGCGACCTTCCCTATTCAAGGGTGACAGCAACAGTTCATCCCCACCATTGCCCTTATGTCATTAGAATGATATGACATATCTAGTCTTGTGAAGTTGCTGAGTGGTTAAAGTTGGGAACTGCCTCATGCAAACCACTGCTCTTCATACTTCTAAGTGTCCTTTTCAAAGATATTTCTCAGTCATTATTATCAAAACAACACAGAAATTAATACACTCTCCTAATCTACTTCTAGTGAAGTCAAATTCTTTTATCAACTCTATTGTTCAGCTATTTAATCTTTCCTTAGTCTCTCATTTTTTGGAGCCCTGGTAGTGCAGTGGTTAAGAGCCCGGCTGCTAACCAAAAGGTTGGCAGTTTGAATCCACCAGCTGCTCCTTGGAAACCCTATGGGGCAGTTCTACTCTGCATATAGGGTTGCTATGAGTCGGAATCAACTCGATGGCAATGGGTTAGTACTTAGGTTTTAGTCTCTCATTAAAATGGCTTCCCAGGTATCAGATGGCCTATTCCCTGTATTATTTACTTTGCTTCTGTATTTATTATCCTGCACTGCTTTCACACCAGTGGACCCACAGAAGCTACTCTGACTAGTTCTGCCCGACCTGATCAGTTCTGATACCCAAGGCATCATTCACCAATGTAATACTCCGTATCCCCCTCTGATTCTTGTTGACAATTATTTACATTAATGGAGACCCCCACCTCCTTTTTCCACACTGAGGCAACCCATAACTATTACTGAACTCGCTTTAATAAGCTCACTACTACAATTATTCCCACCACTTACTATTCCTTCCCTCTCACTTTCCGTGTGCATTATATACTAAGATGAAGACAAAGTCTTTAAATTCTGTAAAAACATGAGCACTTATTCATGTATTCATGAATTGCAAGGATATTTCACATTTGTCATCTCATTTGATGCTCACAAAAATCCTTAATAGAGATTATTAACCCCAGTTAACAGATGAGGACTTTGGGGTGCAGAGTGGTTAAATGACTTGTCCAAAGTCACGAAGCTGGTAGGGGCAAAATAAGAGTCAAATACAGTCTTCTGATTTCTCATAGGAGAAATCTACTATAATTGATCTCCTAACTTTTTATATTCCTTATTCATTTCTCCTACTCCAAAATATCACTTACAAGATAATTTTTTTTGGTTGGTGTTCTAATTTTAAACCATTACATTAATTTCTTAAATATCTATACTGGCAATACAAATAAAGACTTACTTGTATGAAATATAAAGACTTCTTTCTATAATATACAAATAAATATTTTTTATTTCACTTCTAAAGCCCTGAAAATTTCCACTCTTGCAAAATATCCTTTACTTAAAGGCTTGCTCCTTATTGTTCCTTTAACTTCTTGAATCAGTTTCTGGAGTTTTTCTTTCTCCTTCCTATATTTGGCATATTCAATTAGTACAGTTCATCTGTTCCTAATGTTCCCCATCCAGCCTCCTGTAACTGTCTAGTTCGAAAGAGAAAAATATTTTAATTTCATGCAAATCTATTCTAAAGGACTATGATGGTCTATAAAAAACTTGTCGTCAAGTTGATCTCGACCCATAGTGACCCTACAGGACAGAGTAGAACTGCCCTTATAGGGCTTCCAAGGAGCGCCTGGTGGATTCGAACTACCGACCTCTTGGTTAGCAGCCAAGCTCTTAACCACTGCACCACCAAGGCTTCATGATGGTCTATAATACTCATTTTAGTACTGCCAGAAATAATAACATTCCATTGCCATTATGAGCCTTTTATACCCATGTACAGTTTTTGGTGAAAAATTATTATAATTACCTCAGCAGAAAATAAAATTACCTTGGCACGGTACTAACATCATATAAAACAGTGACAAACTGCTAAAATATTAAGATAAAGAACTCACACTGAATCTACAAGTTTCCTGACTAGAGCAATTATATTCATTCTTCTTGGTTTTTCCTCATGTTTCTCTCTCTTTTGTTCCACCTTTGCATAGGCTGCCTCTGGTGAATAAGAATGTGTGGGAATCTCTTCCTTCCCTACAATGAATCTAAAGAAAAGAGCACCATGTGAGGCATTTTTCACCTTTAAGAGAAAAATCAATAAGAAACAAAAAAAGATTTTGTTTATAGACAAATACATTTTGGAGAGTATCATCATTTAAAATAGTATCTTCATAATTTATATAAAATTGAATCATCCTCTGAAGAAAAACAGGCCTTTAAAATCTGAATACTCAAAATGTTAGTAGTTATTTGTTTGACAATATGGGAATTTTAAAATCAAATTAACCAAGTAAATTATAGCATAGCACTTTTATGAAACACCCTTTAACTTAGGTTACCACTTTCCTAATGTATTCCATATTTAAAGTTCTTCGAAAGAAACAAGTGAATTATTAACTTGGGTCTACCAGTCAATCACAAAAATTATATTTTTCCCTAAATTTTCTTATAGTTACACTGAATGGGTTTCTCTCTCTCTCTTTTTCCTCTAAATTTACACTTCATTTTGCTTTGAATCATAAAACAGCTACAGTGCAGTAGAAGATCATCTATATAGACACAGGGAAATGGGAGAACTAGAGAATGAGGAATTGGAAAACAGTCAAGACTGCATGTATCCTCCCATTATTTCATTAGAAAAATCATAAACTTGGTATCACACCAATCTACTTATTTCTCTTTGGAAAAATCATATATCTAGAAGATACCATTCTCTTTCATCAAAACAGAATTGTATTTTTCCAAAGACAAAGCAAAGCAATGTTACCACCTCTAGATATCACTTCAGCAGTATCTTCTATCAAAGTTTTTTATTAATACTGCTTGCACTTTGACTATAGGAGTCAGTGCTCTTACAATACTACACTAAAAGACTGGGATGTGGGACTTGGACAAAATAATATGACAATTTTAAAACTTTGAAAAGAGAAAAAGAAAAAGCTGTTAATATCAACAACTGCAACCCGACCCCTTTGGGACAAACTTGGTAAACATATCTAGCTTGCCAAATTATAGGGAGTTTGCAATAGGATTCTTTCTCACCACATAGTAGCTGTGTATCCTTGGTAACTGTTAGTCCAAAAGAATTTGTTTCTTGATTATGGATGTGCATGGAGAGTTTAAGATCTTTATAAGCAACAAGGATAAAATTACGCCTGAGCAGATACAATAATATCTCTCACACCTTTCACAACACTGTTGCTATTTTGGCCAGGATTGACCATCTCAGATTAGAAGTCACTTCCTTGGAGAAGCTGTCTCTGCCCCAAGTCCTCCCTCTGTGCTCTCATAGTACCGTGAGCCCTACCTTTTTACTAGTCTATGTTGTTGATGTTGTTAGTTGCCGCTGAGTCGAATCCAACTCGTGGCAATCCCATGTGTACAGAGGAGAACTGCTCCATAGGGTTTTCAAGGCTGTGACCATTCAGAATCAGATTGCCAAGCCTATCTTCCAAGGTGCCTGTGAGTAGTTTTGAACTGTCAACTTTTCAGCACATAGTCAAGTGTTTGCGCCACCCAGGGACTCCTTACTAGTCTAAACCCACTGCCATCGAGTCAGTTCCAACTCACAGTGACCCTCTAGGACAGAGAAGAATGGCCCCATAGGGTTTCCAAGGCTGTAAATCTTTATGGAAGCAGACTGCCACATCTTTCTCCCATGGAGCGGCTGGTGGGTTTGAACCGTTGACCTTTTGGTTAGCAGCCAAGCACTTAACCACTGCGTCACTAGGGCTCTCTAGTCTAGTTCCCCTTATACTTATCTAAATTTATCCTTCAAGCACCGTTTAAGGCTTACCACCTATAGGATAACAACAACAAAAACAGCCAACACTTTTTGAGCACTTACTATGTCCCAGGCACTGTCTAAACACTTTTCATGCATTAACTCTTTGACCCTCAAAATAACCTTGAGATAATCATATAAAAACTTCTCTTAGTATTGAACCTACCCTAATTCTTGCCTCCTATACTTCCATACTACTAATCTTCACTAAGCATCTACGATATGTACTTAGGGAAATAAAAATAGGCAACATTTGACATAAACTGAAAGAATATTGGATTTGGAGTCAGGATATATAGTCATTTATGTGATGTTTAAGTAGTCAAGCATTCTAAGCCTTGGCTTCAGCATGTCACATGGGCATAAAAATACGTGTCTCACAGAATTGTGAGATTTAATTTTCTAATCTACGTGAAAATGCTTGGTAAGCTATAAAATACAATGACACTAATGTTAATCAATATTTCTACAGTATCTACAGTGTGCCAAGAGTCAGACAATGAGGTGAAAAGATAAGATTCTAACAAAGCTTACAATCCAGTATGTGTTTCACAGTGCATGAGTCCTGCCCTAAAGAAGTCCATAATCTGGGCCACACAATTAAGTACTTAATTTTTTGGTAAATGTTCATGTGGTTTGTCTTCCCAAGCTCCTTGAAGAAAGAGTTCTTGTATTTCTTTTCTAATACCTCACAGTATAAGGCACATAACGGGCCTTAAAAAAACAGTTGTTGATTGACTAATTTTCAGGGGAAAAAAACTGATAAAGTACCCTTTTAAAGAACTATCCATAATGCTTGGCGATAATTTTGTGACTTCTAAAATTACTTTCAGCTTAAAAATTGAATCAATAAATCTTTATTGTAATTATTTATAGAGAATACTTTTAAAAAAAGAAAAGGTAACTTGCAAATTCTCTCTCAACATAAAGGTAAATTAAATGTTACTTACCTAAGTGCTGAGAATGTAAATCCTTTCAAACCATCTTTACATCTAAAACGATAAAAATTTATAACATATTTTGGAATATAAAGTAGTGCATTAAGTTATTATTACAAAATTTAAGATTTTTTTTAAAAGGCGAAACTCTTTTAGGACAATGATCAGAGCACTACAAATGGTCAAACATGCAATAAGCAGTGAAGCAAGCCATCTTGCACAAAATGATTAAAATGATAATGCTTTTCTATGTCAAATTAACATAACTTAGGGCTCAACTCTCAGATCTGTAGGTTGAAGACAGAATTAAGTAAATCTTCTAAGGACTCCACTGGGACTTAAAATGAGGGCTGGGAGTAAAGTACTCTTCATTCTCCCCAGTCCCTGGGGGAGCAATTTGCTGTGAAGAGAAAGGCCACATATACCTGCTGGGTATTACATATAGGTCAATTCAAGGTCCTGACTTCTCTCTACTTATTAATTCAGTGAATGCAGAGTAATGTAGAGTTGGCAGGCACAGAAAGCCTTCAAGTTTAGTTCATCAGTTTTAACTTCTGATTAAGCTCAAGCAGAACAGACACCACAATCCAGGCACTGCTCTAAACACTTTTCATGCATTATTGGGGGTAGGGGAAACACGAGACCAGAAAGAGAGGATTCCAAATAATATTTATTGAGAGCTTACTATTACTGGGCAAAAATCATGGTTTTATCTTATACAACCTACTGAAACAGTATAGTGCCTTTACTCAATTTATATAGTAATTAAGAAAAAAAGATTCTCAGCTCAGCTAAAGATATTTAAACAAGATCTTAAAATGGGGGCATTACTATACTAGTCTTGCATTACCCTGATGCTGTTCAGTATCTTTGGCTTGCTTTGTAGGTATGATTACCTTATGAAAAGGGCCTTTTGAGTATTTCGTATCAAATGCCTTGGAGAAATCTATAAATACTGGTGATACAATGATGTTCTAATGTATGTCAATATTAGACACTGGATATTCTTGGATAAAAAGTACTGTCTCAAATCTAATTAGTCAATTCCTTCTGTACACTTTTTGTATGGTCACAAGGAAATGCATAAAAATAGAAGAAATCTATCTTACCAATTTAAAATATATACATTTTTACTGAAGCCGGTACAGAATCTCATAAAAAGAATTTAATTCATGTGCACAAGGATGTTTGAAAGATTTACAAACTCATTTCAATTACACAACATGATCTATTTTGTGGTCATGTTAACAGTGGCAAATGTAACCACAGAATTTAGCTAACATACTACATAATTCTCTACCCCACACAGAATGGGAGTAAACACAAACGAATTCATATTTTAAGCTAAAAATGTGTATGGAGAAATTACAGCATTAAACATTTTTAAACTTATCTTTTTCCATTTGAAGAAAAGTATCTGTCAGTAATTTAAAACCTGTAATTTGGTAATTTCTAGATAGGTGGGGTGGTGAGAGGGTAGGAAAATAGAAAACAGTAGATTAATTAAAAGATTATGTATATCTGGGAACAAATTTTGGCTTTGGTATATTATCGTCACAAGATAGCCACTTATCTTTGTGCAATGCTGGAAAAGGATTGTGACAAGTTGGGCTAGTTAGGATTGTATATTTGTGACCTTGAACAATAAATTTAATTGCAGACCAAAACATCAAAAAGTAGCTTTCAAATATAAAAGAGACATATACAAATGAATCTGCAATTTCATTATGATGGAAGTTTGGTTCTTTCAGCAGAACCCCGTGGGAAGCACTTCATATTGATAAAAGTCTCAGCACAGATTCAAAAGGGGGTATTCTTGCCATTCATATGTATAAGGTCTGTTAATGTAATTGAGAATCAGATGTCTGTTAAAAGAACAAAAAAGTAATTATTCCCATCAAAAGTATCTTTAAAATAGTAACATGGCCCGGTATTTTGACACCAAGAGTACTGTCTGAGCATTAATCTAACTGTGGAACACTATTGTAACTTGTTTTAAATGGAGAACATATAATATAAATGTTAAGATTTAAACAAAGCAGACTTCATTAGAAGGTGCCTAACTATGCTATGGATTCAGTTATTATAATGTAAATCAAACCACATTTTCCATTTATGTAGTAAGGCTCACTGACTTATTCAACAAATATTAACTGAGTGCCAACTTTGTGTAAGGCACTGGTTTAGGTCCTAAGGATGTAAAAGTGAGCAACACAGAAGCCTTGCTCTCATACGGCTGACATTTTAGTTAGGGGAGAGAGATGACAAAATAGTTTAAGTATGTCCTGAGATGATAACTGCTATGGCAAAAAACCAAGCAGGATAAAGGGAGAAAGTGATGGAGTTGGGACTTATTACTTTACATAGTGTGGTCAAGAGGGGACTCTCTGAGAAGATAACATTTGGTAATTTGATCAGAAACCTCAGTGAAGTGGGAGAAGAACATTTCAGTTAGAAGGAATAGCAAGTACAAAGTCCCTAATGAGGAGTCTGCGTGGCATGTAAGGAGAACAGCAAGTACCCTACTAACCCGTTGCTGTCGAGTCGATCTCGTTATCCGACATTTCACTTTTACAACAGTTCACTTTTACAACGGTAAAAGATCTACTATCCAACTATTTTGCCCATTAGCAACATTTATCTGGCAGTAATGAACACCAAGGTGTGAGGCAAGAGTAATGTTGGCTTTTATGGTTATGTGTCACCTTGGTTGCACCATAATTCTCAGTGGTTTGGCAGTTATGTAATGGTGTAATTTGGCAGTTATATAATGATGTAATCTGGCAGTTATGTAACAATGTAATTTGGCAGTTATGTAATGATGTACTCATCCTCCATTTTGTGATCTGACGTGGCCATCCTCCATTTTCGCATAATGCTGATTTTTGCATAATGACTTGGTCTTAGGAACCTAACTACGTCCATAAGTGAGGAGTGGGTGTAGATTCCCGTATCTGGAAATGAATAGGGGAGGGAGGCAGTGGTAGGAAATGAGCTAATAGTAATGGGGGTGGAGAAAGGGAATTGTCTAACAATTCATGTAGGGCACGTATGCACGGTAACAACTTTGGAAGGTTCTCAGCAGAGAAGTGACAAAATCTGTCTTAAATTTAAAAAGAATCACTTTTGTTGCTGGGTACAGAAGAGTCTACAGGAGGGCAAGGTTAGAAGCAAGGAGGCTAATTAGGAAAGGAAAGATGATAGTGGCTTGACTAGAACATAGTGGCAGAGGTGGAGAGAAGTGGTCAGATTCTGCATGTATTTCAAAAGTAGAGCTGGTAGAGTTTCTCGATGGATCAAATACGTGCTACAAGGGAAAGCGAGAATTTAAAAATTATTGAAATAGTTTTGGTTTGAACAAATGGAAGGATGGAATGGCCTTTTACTCAAATAAGAAAGACTATGGAAGGAGTGTGCAGTGGTTAAGAGCTCAGCTAGTAACCAAAAGGTCAGCAGTTCGAATCCACCATCCGCTCCTTAGAAACTCTATGGGGCAGTTCTACTGTGTCCTATAGGGTCGCTATGAGTCGGAATCAACTCGACAGTAACGGGATGGAAGGAGCAGGTTCAAGGAGAAAATCGTAAGTTTGGTTTTGGACATGTTACGGTTGATATGCTTATTAGCTAATTAAATTGAAATGTCAAAAAAGAAGCATCTGGCTCCACAGGTCTGGTATTCAAAGAAGAGATCTAATTTGTTCATATGTAGTATTTTTAAATCCATGGGGCCTGACACAATCATCTAGGAAATAAGCCTAGATAGAGAAAATATCCATGGACTGAGTATATCTTATTCCTCCAAAACTTACAATGCAGAAAATCTCCCCTTAAAGAAGAAAAACAAAACTCTATTTCTCCTTCTAATAAAAATCTTCCTCTAATATAGTCTCATTTTTATTTTCAATTTTGCATAAAGACGATGCATGTACTTCATGTATATATAAACTTTCCTATTAAATTTAGTCTATGCAAAGGACATAAAATAACTAATAGGATTCAATCCATATTTATTGAACCCTATATTTGCAAGGTTCTGTGTTAAAATGTGATAATAAAACAGAAGCAGGAGAAACAAGGAGAAAAAGAATTTTCAGTATTACATCAAACAACTTAGCTGATACATAACTAATTACAGAGGTTCAGGAGGGTAAATGAATGGAATTACTATATATAGGAAAATATAAATAAGCTTAATGTTATTGTTATTATACAACTACTCTTGGTCAAATGCCAAAGGGGGAGAAACCCACAAAGACAAAAAACATTCTCAATTAGGAGTGTGAATTATAGTAAAAGAAAACAATTCTGCCCACAAAAGTTTTTTCTCTCATGTTTTAATTTCCATGAAATTACTTCCATGAGATACTGTACTTACATCTTTATTACAACTTTGTACCAGCAGATGTCACTAGTAAACTGGTTTTGGAAGAATTCGTAGCTCTTTAATATGATTTCAATGACAAACATTTTGTTGCGTGTTTTCCTTTAAAAATACATTTACAGGGATTCAGAATGCTGCTGATCTTAAACTGCATTAAGTTCCCCCAAGTAAATATCATGGTATTATATTTTGAATAATGAGTGATGACCCTGCACTCTAATCCATCATTCCATAGTTACGTTTAAGAACACCCTACTGTTTGGCACCAGCCGAAAATTTGATGATACAAATGTGGTGCTTCATTGTATGTTCTCTAATTAGCTGAAAACAATGAGAACAAACTATTTTGATTCTTCAAAAAATTTTTATTGTCTACTTTGTTTTCATTCATTTGGTAAATATAATGGATGTAAAGGATGTAGTTTATAAATCTCCTCTGAAACATTTCTTCACAGTACAGTGGAAAGAATCTTGATGTGAACAAGGATATAGGTACTAGTCATAACTTCTCTACCAATCTTGAGGAAAACACTTAACTTTAGGGTTCAACTTCTTTATCCATTACTGTACATGAAAAAATAAATTATTTCAAAGAGAAAAGGCTTAAAGTTCAAGTGTTAACACTTATATTGAAATATAAAAAGAATGAAATATGAACTTAATTCTAAATAAT